ACAATAATTTAAATAGGTTTTAAATACAACAATAAAGTTTAAATAGGTTTTAGTTGGAGTATCTATATTTAACACTAAAATTATCTATTTACTCTTAAATAAATGGGTCACTCGCTAAATTCTCGTATCAACCCCCAACACTACACATTTATATTCGTGTTATAAATAAATGACTCATTTATGACACGAACTTGTTTAAGCTCAACCCAAACTTGTTTATTTTGCACGTTAGGCAAATCCTGTTAGAGTGTCAAACCATTTTGACACCCCTAAAAAAAAAGAGTTGCTTGAATATATGGTTTTTAAAATTAAATGGATGATAACCTTATATCTCTTCTCAACATATACAAAGGAGAATCAATCTTTTGGGCCATGGAACATTGTATCTTTTCTTTCCTTTTGTTCAATGCATATAGAGCTAATGGAAAATTTTAACAAGCTGAGAAAATAAATCAACTTTAAAGACCTGAATTTTCATAAATGAGGTAAAAAAAAAAGTCAATAAAAAAAAAAAAAGAGAGAGAGATTTGGTTGTTAACATAAAAGGAACAATTTATAAAATTATAAGGTCAAATTCCAATAAGTCAATAACACTCCTCCTCTTAAAGTTACACGTCATTATAAAATGGAGATTTTTTTTATTCATTGAGAAGGTCAATCAACCCAAAGAACATTGCAAACTACATAATAAAAGGTAATCATCTTCTTTGTTTATTAAAGTTTCACACTCGAAATTGAACCCTCTTACTCCCTACAAGTAGAAAGATCAATCAGATCACACCTAATTGGTTTGAAAGATATATATTTAGTTGGTAAAGTATAGAAGGAAAAATATAAAAAAAATTATGAGGTTAGATTTTGACGAGCGGCCCTCTCTCTAGTAATTATAAGTCTATTTTGTCAAGTTTTTTAGAGAGAGTTGTCTCGCACTCTTTAAGTAGTTTTTTACATGCCCATCTATAACTTACCTTGATCTCTAGTATATAAATTGAGGTAAAAATTAATGAAAAATAGAGATTTAGTTGTTAAGGATAAAAGGAAAAATATAGAAAATTTATGAAGTCCGATTCCAACAACCATCCCTTCTCCTAAAGTCATAAGGCTATTTTGTCCAATTGTTTAGCGTTAATTATCTTGCGCTAATAGATATTCTTCACGTACCCATTTATGACTAGTGCCGGTTTCTAGCTTAGGAGTTGGTAAAAAAATAATAAAAAATGGAGATTCATTGTTAAAGCTCAAAAGGAAAAATACAAAAAATTATGAGGTCAGATTCCAATAGACAACCCCCCCTTATTCCAAAGTTAAGGTTTATCTTGTACTCTAGGTATACTTTACCTACCCACTTGTGACTTGTGTCAATTTTTGGTATAGAAATTAGGGTAAAAAGTTAATGAACAATGGAGATTTAATTGTTAAAGTATAAAGAAAAATACATAAGATCAAATTTCGATAGTCATCGTTTTGCCCGAAATTACAAGGTTACTGTATCAAGTTCTTTAGTAGATTTATCTCATGTTCTCGAGTGTTTTCTACCTATCCATCCGTAACCTTGTCGATTTTTGATATATGAATTAGATAAAAAATAAATGAAAATTGGATATTTAGTTGTTAAAACATAATAGGAAAATACCCAAAATTATGATGTTTGATTCCAATAGGCATCCATTCTCCTAAAGCTTCAAGATCATTTTATGAGCTCTTTAGGACAGTTGTATGTTACCTCGTAAGGTGATTATTTCATTAAAGGTCGTTGGAGTTTTATTTATTGGTATTTGAAATTTATTCATTGTTAATTGATTTAGAACTGTTAACGTTTAGCTGTTTTATAAATTGTTAAAAAGTTAAATTTTATATAAATTAATTTTTTAAAAAATATTATTTTAATCTCTAAAAATTAATTTAAATATTATTTACTGATTACTGTCAAAATAATATTTAATATTTTACTTAAAAAGTCGTTTCAGAAGCATTGGCTGCCAGCACTTCTCTACCATTTCTTACCTTGAAAAGGTATATACATCGTAGGTCCTTGATAGTAATTTAACTTTTGTCCTTGAAAACCCATAAAAAGGAGTATAAAAATATTCGCATGACAATTTTAGAAGTAACGAATTGTAAGGAATAACTAATTTCATAATACTAATAATTCATTAAATTAAAATCCAAAACGAAGAAACGATGTAAAAGAATGTACTCAGCAAAAGGAGAGAGAAATAGACAGAGTGGTAGCATTTGTCAGTAGTAATCAACAAAAGTCAAAAATTCAAAACGTTAAAGCCAGTCTTCACGTCTTATTGTGGGATCTTCTGTTAGCGCTTACGTTAAAGCATCATGATTTTGCCGCGTGTAAGGATTGATCGTCCTGAAAAGCCAACTTAATGCTTTAGGCGTTTGAAGCGTTACCGAGTTAATGAGCAGTGGCAATTTGCTAATCAATCAAATAGTAAATCCACGGGTAGGCATGTCCGGTTGATCGAAACACCGATTTCGATTCACGAAATCAACGGTTTAAAAATTTTAAAATATTAAACTTTAACTGGTTTTTAAACTGTCAATTTCAGTCCAATTTTGGTTTCGACCGATTTTGATGCGGTTTTGATCACGATTTCTGGCTATATATACGACCGATTTGTATGGCGGTTTTGATCAACGATTTCTGGCTATATATATATATATAATATATATATATATATATATATCTATATAATATATATATTTAAATAAATCGCTCTAACGTACATCTTTCTTTCGAAAAGTAATTAATATGAGTTTAAAATATTAGTAAATTTTATTTTCATAAATTTTAGAATGTTCATATTCATCTAAGAATAAATTAATTAAATTTTATAGAAATCAATCAAATAAAGATAAAATTAATTAATTTTATAAAATAATCAAATAAATTATCACTTTATTTTGTTTAAATGTTATTAATTAAATAAATTATAATTAAATTTTTGGTTCGAATCGAACCGAAACGGTTAGTTAACCGACGGTTAGTTAACCGACGGTTTATGATCGGTTCAAGTTTATATTTTAACATTCACGTGAACCTTAACCAGTCATTGAATTGCTGGTTTCATTTAAAAATTTTGAACTGACTATTTCAATCCGATTCCAATTAATTTATAATACGATTCAGTTTCAGTTTGATTCCAGTTCAAAATAAACCGGTGGCATGCCTAAGTACAGGGATTTACAATTAGCAAATCCCTCAATCTATCTATTCTAAAAAAAAAAAAAAGTAAAACCACGCGCTAATTTAGCACGTGTCATAGAGTGTCGCTAAGGTTACGGATAGTAAATTATTAATTAGCAAAAAAATAAATTTTTATCCCTGAACACTCGCAAAAATTGATCTCATTGGGAGTTTCGAGGTGGCAGTGGGTCCCGTCTAATAGGGAACTCGAGGACAATTCGCATGCGACGACACGTGGCGGTTAATGCGATGCCGCAAATTAAAAAAAGGACCACACGTCCTTCACCGTACGACAGCATGCCAGGTTCAGTGTCACCGGCTAAGCAGGTACTAGGTTGTGTTTTTCTTAAGTAAATTATTTTCCAATCCCCAACTACCCACCCATTCTTGCCTGACACTTTAGATACTTTTGCTTTTTTTGTTTACTTTAAACATTACTGTAGCAAAATAGCATTAATGATGCCAAAAATTAAAATTATGATAACTGTAGATATTATTACGGTAAAATTTCATATTTCATATATTAAATTATATCAGGTTCATTTTATTTAGCTTATTTAAAATTACAATAATTTTTTTTAATACTGTAGGAAAAAAAAATTCATTGCTTTAGTATATAGGATGTGTGACTGGAATAATTTTTCTAATATCCACTAGAATAAATCATTTAAAAATAATTTTATGCTTGTATGAAGTGAAATTCTCATTCCAAACCATCATTATTATACTTCACAAACTTTCAACACTTAGAATGTCAAAGTAATTTTTTTTTTTTTTGAAAAAAGAAAAACAATGGGACAACATATCTTCTATTTCCAGATGATATAAGAAACAGTCACAGTCCAATTTAAAGGGGCAAGAATTTTGATCACTGACTTTTGACAATTCCAAGTCATCTGAACCTGTAAAATCAATTTTTTTTTAATTTTCCATCTAACGAAAAATAAAATAAAAAGAGGTTTGGATGAAAAATAACTTTTATTATTTGAGTAAGAAATGAGAATCAATAAACCAGTCTAAAGCGTGTTGAATGGATTTTTAAGAAGGAAATGTTTGGATAGGATACATGTGGGATTTCCACTATCTTACAAAGTTTTATTTGTTTGTTTCTTTTTTACAAGAAAAGTATTGTCTTAGAGAAAATGGCCTGGATTGGACACCTTAACTTAACATTACGATTGCTTTTTCCATGCTAGTAACACCGTTCATTTTTCACACTAATATAATTCTCAATTTAATGAATGGACTGTGACTATCCATTAAGAGATAAAACGGCAGTGTTATATATTTATCTTTCTAAGTGGATCAAATTTTCAACATCATTTAAGGGAAAATAGCGTAAAATTACGGTAAAAATTTTTTAAAATGTTATAAATATGCATTTGGTTGATCTAACAAAAAAGAAGAGTGAAACGTCGACAAAATCTTCAAACGACATCAGTTTCAGTTAATCATTTACAAGAAGTCAATCTGTTAGAAAAAGATCTAATAAAAAGCCTTTTTTTCGTAAGAAACAAACAAAGACCCAATTATTTGACAAGTTGGCTGTGTAAGAGGGACGGAGAATTTTACAAGTTGATTACGGTATCTGTCAAGTCATGAGGAGGTTTGATTGGTAATAAAGAAACGGATACAACCGGTAAAAACAAGTACCCGGTAAAATGATTGTGGTCCCTCCGATTAGATTCCCTCCACGACCGAAGCAATAAAATCGGAATCCTAGCTCTCTTCAGAAAAAAAAAAAAAAAAAAATAAATCGAAATCCTACAGCTCTCTTCACCGAAAAAAAAAAAAAAAAAAGAATCCTAACTTCGCTGCACCTGCCAACCTTAATTCATTTCCTTTATTTTTTTATAAATATTATATTTTTATATAATTATAAAAACTCACTAATTATTAGCAGATTTCAACTATTAGCTTTTATTATTTTTTAAAAATTATTTTTGCTGAGTTATTTTACATCTTCAACACTGGGAACCTCGCTATAAAAGCTGACCTATACCTCCCTTTTATCACGTCTCTTTGTATTGCATAGTTCTTCTTCAAGCTCAAACAGATAGCAAGAAGAAGAATAAGAAGGAGATTTTAGTCCTGTAGTTGATATGTCGCTTCTTTCAGATCTCATCAACCTTAATCTCTCTGAGACCACTGACAAGATCATCGCGGAGTACATATGGTGCGTTTCCTTTTAATACTTTACTGTGCTTACTCAACCATAAACGCTTATACATGTACATAGATATTTTTGAATTTATGTGGTTAACTATGTATTTGAGTCAATAGGTATACGTTATTTTGATTTTTTTTTTTTTTTTTTTTTTTTTTTTTTTTTTTTTTTTTTTTTTTTTTTATGATCCGTTCTCCTGTTAGTGTTTTGTGATTTCTACTTCTCTTGAAGTATAAAGAAGATTTTTTTTTCTTGTTAATGATATTGGTTTTTGGGATTTAGAGAAGTTTTTCATTTTCCTGTTTCAGATTTTTTTTCTGTTGTTCTAGTTGTTCTTTTATAAGATCCAAGTTTTCTTTTTATGTAGTTTTAAGTGGTGATTGTGGACAGAATTTTCTTTGTACTTCAAAAAGATTTTGCCAATTAGAATTTTATTTTCAATCTAATTTTTCTTCTGGAAAGAAAACAGGGCATTTTGTGGAGGTTGAATTAGATTTTAGTTGAGTTTTTATAGTTATTCTTTGTTTTGGAACTTATTGGGAATTGTTTGGTACTGTTATCGTGGCTTTTTGCACTTAATTGCAAATATCCAATTTATCATTGCTTTTCTTTAATTGCTTATCTTGTTTTGTCGAATTCTTGAACAGGATCGGTGGATCTGGCATGGACTTGAGGAGCAAAGCAAGGGTAAGCAATCTGTGCATAAAAAGAAATTGGTTTACTATTTACTATTATTAAGGTTGTTTTAATTGTTCTAATTTAAATTAATTTGTTGTCTTCTGTAAAGACCCTCTCTGGACCAGTCAGTGATCCTTCAAAGCTTCCAAAGTGGAACTACGATGGTTCCAGCACAGGCCAGGCTCCTGGAGAAGATAGTGAAGTGATCCTCTAGTAAGGATTTTATCTTTATTGATTTTTTTACCCTTTTCCTTTTTGTTCTTGTCCAAATCCTTATTGGTTTACTTTCCTTGATGTAATGCAACAGTCCTCAAGCTATTTTTAGGGATCCATTTAGAAGGGGCAACAACATCCTTGTGAGTTCTAATTTGCCACTATATTATGTTTGTTACAGCTGGGGTTTATCTTGAACTTTCATAGCTCAAGACTTCATTTTTTTTACATGGGTTGAATTAGGTCATTTGTGATGCTTACACCCCAGCCGGTGAGCCAATTCCAACAAACAAGAGACATGCCGCCGCTAAGATTTTCAGCCATCCTGATGTGGTTGCTGAAGTGCCTTGGTACACTATTCAACAGTATTTAATTGTTTACATCCTTTTATATAGCCTCCATAAGAAGGCCAAATGATTGTGAGCACTATAATAGGAATAGCGGAAGATGCTTGATTGCATATGGCAATTACATCTTCGTTATACTCTAATTTTGTTTCTTGCTTTATAATCCTGTGGGTTAACTTTTAAATCTGATTTTGTGAAAAACAGGTATGGCATTGAGCAAGAATACACCTTGTTGCAGAAAGACATTAAATGGCCTATTGGCTGGCCCATTGGGGGCTTCCCTGGCCCTCAGGTATTTAAACTCATTGCCATGCTTTAGAATTTTTGAGCCCTTTTCCTTTTTCTTTACTTCAACAAACCGTTATGTACTTGTTTTAATGTACGACCACAGAGTTTCTGAATTCTTTGGTGCTACCAATCACCGTTTGGTGTACCACCACTAATTAGGTTACATTTATTACCTACCTATCATAGGGACCATACTATTGTGGTGTTGGTGCTGACAAGTCATTTGGAAGAGACATTGTTGATGCACATTACAAGGCTTGTTTATATGCTGGTGTCAACATTAGTGGTATTAATGGAGAAGTTATGCCTGGCCAGGTATGAATATGGAACTTGTTTTCAATTATTACGACCAGTTTTTAATCTTTAGGTTGTTTCCAATACTGAAATATTTTCATGTTATTTAGTGGGAGTTTCAAGTTGGACCTGCAGTTGGTATCTCAGCCGGAGATGAATTGTGGGTTGCTCGCTACATTTTGGAGGTAATATGATTTTGAGTACTTGATTACATAAATTTATACTATTATTGCAGTTTGCATTGTTGGCTCAAATACCCTACATTTTGTTTTACAGAGGATTACAGAGATTGCTGGAGTTGTGCTTTCTTTTGATCCTAAGCCAATTCAGGTAACTTTTTGCTAATCTGGTTTTTAGGGCTTAATGCATAGCTTATTTAGCTGTTCTTGGTTTGTGTATACTTATATTTCTGTTTGGTTTTATAGGGTGACTGGAATGGAGCAGGTGCACATACAAATTACAGGTATGGACCTATGCCATTTTATAATATGTTTCTTTGAATCTGTTATAATTGGACACCCAATTACTCTTCAATGTTTGTTCCTTCTTGTGTCTTTAGTACAAAGTCAATGAGAAATGATGGAGGCTATGAGGTCATCAAGAAAGCAATTGAAAAGCTGGGGTTGAGGCACAAAAAACACATTGCTGCATATGGTGAAGGCAATGAGCGCCGACTCACGGGGCGACATGAAACAGCTGACATCAACACTTTCAAATGGGTAATGGAAATGAACATTGCAGCACATTCATTGTATATGATAATACATTTCTAAAACCAAAAGTTTTTACAATGAACTGGCCTAATAGACACAAATTCTTGTCATTGGACAGGGTGTTGCAGACCGTGGAGCATCTGTTCGCGTTGGCCGGGATACAGAAAAGGAAGGAAAAGGGTATTTTGAGGACAGAAGGCCTGCATCAAACATGGATCCATATGTTGTTACTTCCATGATTGCAGAAACCACCATCCTGTGGAAACCATGAGCGAAACTCTGTCTGGAATCAAGCCATTTTACATTTCAAACATTGTTATTTCTAGCCTTTTGTGGGAGTATAGGAAGAAATGTCTCAGTGGGGAACTTTTAGTCCAATGTGATTTTAATTTATTTCCTAATTTTTCCTGCTGTTTCGCCCTTTGTATGGGGAGATTTAGCAAGGTTGTTTGTTTGCTTCCTCGCTTAGTCCATTCAGCGTTGTATTGTTGAATAATTAAACGCTTTAATACCAATAACATTATTAAAGGTATTATGTTTGTTATTTATTTTAATTTAATTAAAATAATATTTTTTTGGAGTTATATGAAAAAAGAAAAGGGAAAAAAGATGTTAGACTTGTACATAAGGCCCACGACTCTATTCAAATCAGTATGTCGAGGAAAAAAAACTGAAATTAGAGAATTTCAAAACAATAAAACTAATAAAATTGTTGAGATTAAGGTTTTATTAGCTCATATAGCAAGTATAAGAGTCATATGTATATGTACTGTAATCATATTAGGTATTTAAGCTTTGCTAATTAGTGTGTGACAAACAATTGTATTATTTTTATATACTAAATTAAAAATTTTTTTGAAAGTTTCTTATTTTTAATTGGACCCTCTACTAAATATAAAATTATATATTAACCGAAAATATTAACTATCTTAACCAAGTATATACAACGAACTTTGTTATTTTAACCTCTTCAAAGTTTACTTCTTTACGGTGTAAATCTCCATTTTGGGCTTGTAAATCTCCATCAATAGGTTTAAAACATATTGTTTACCCAGTTTGAAACGGACTTTATCTCAAGGTGACATTCCACCTCTTACTTTATATGATGGTCTTTCTTCATTTTTTCCCAATGTGGGATTTTTGTTCCTTCATTCTCCAATATATCTATTATCATCAAAATGAAGTATATACAACGAACTTTGTTATTTTAACCTCTTCAAAGTTTACTTCTTTACGGTGTAAATCTCCATTTTGGGCTTGTAAATCTCCATCAATAGGTTTAAAACATATTGTTTACCCAGTTTGAAACGGACTTTATCTCAAGGTGACATTCCACCTCTTACTTTATATGATGGTCTTTCTTCATTTTTTCCCAATGTGGGATTTTTGTTCCTTCATTCTCCAATATATCTATTATCATCAAAATGACAAAGAAGCTTTAAACAATATGATAAACAAATTTAAAATGTCTACTTTCCAGTTATGTCAAGCTTCATAACACCTGGAAATGAGATTCCATAGCCATCGAAGAGCTTAATGCATGCTCGTTCTTCACGGCTTTAGCTAAAAAAAATTTTCAGTTATAATCTTTAAAATAACAAGGAAAAAGTGATAAAATAATATTATACTGAACTAGCAAAATATGGAAGAGAAAAAAAGAAACATTAAATGCCAATTTCTATTAAAGCTTACTAAGTCGAAAACTCTCCCAAATTCATTAAGAAAAATATTCTTTTTAAATAAATCCTTATGAATAACATATGATCATATAAAATGAATTGTATTATTCTCAATCATTTGGAAGTTTACGCCTTTTTTTTAAACTTTATTCTCCTCTGTTGGATATTTGATTATGGGCCCATGGGCTCGAATGAGCTTGAGCGTTCAAATGATTTGTTGGGCTTTGAGTCCATTATGGGCTTTGTAAATCTATATCAATGAGCTTGTGATATATTATTGATCTTCTTCGAATTGATGGACTTGTTTTAAAATACCTAATTCATCCTGGCTTTTCCACCTTATTTTATATGGCCTTTTTTTCCTTCGTCTGCTTCCGACGTGGGACTTTGTCCTTCATTCTCCAATGCTCCCCCTTAAGTGCAATTGGGAAGTATTTTCTCTTTGAGAGGCCTGGTTGTGCTCATGGTTTAAGTGAGCTTAGCCTTCAGATGGATATGTTGGGCTTATAAGTGAACATAAACCTAGTTCTAAAAGATTATAACAAAGAAATAGCTTGATTGTGCAAATCCTAAATTAGTCAAGAAATATGGCAGACCCTAAAATAGCCTTAATCTTCCAAACACCCCAAATTCAAATTATGTAAATAAAAAATAGAAATTTTAGGTCTCGCATCTGCACATTAGGTTAATTTAACTCTAAGTATTGATTAAGTAAAATATTGCATTTCATAAACTTTTTCTGCGAAGCGTTTTGCTTTATTATGAACTTTATCTCCTCTTGATTATTTTTTTTTAGTAATGTCCTATCAAAATAAGATAAAATTTGAATTTGGAGTGAAATTATAATTGAATTTAGGGTGCAATTATCATAGTATATTTGATATAATTTAAATTTGGGGTGCAAATGTGATAAAAAGTTAAAATTAAGGTATATGAGAGATTAAGATTATTTTACAGTCAATGTTACAACTGCAAAAAGTTTGAGATAGCTTAGCTAGCTTCTTCCTTCGTTCAAGTTAACTCAATTATTAGACGTGGGCTCACATTTAATATGTTTTATTTATTAACTAGATGAAGGCTCACGCATTTGCACGAGTGTCTTTTTATAATCCATTCAAAATTAAAATAAAGAATAAAGAACTGTACCTTGATCATATTGATAAAAGTTAACAAGAGATAAAAGCAAGAGAACATATTCTTAGATAGCAGCACATGATTCGTTAAAACAATCAATCCATAATTAAGCATCCTTTTAAAAAATCTCGGTAATTATTGATCATGGACTGCACAATTCATTTTCCTTCATTCTTGGCAGTAAACTTACTCACCTTAACTTTGTTTGGGTATTTCTTCTCAATATTTTAAGTGTGATTTTATATATGTCATATTTTAAAACTCATGATTAGAGAATATTAGTTTGACTTTTCAATTAAAATTATTTTCAGTTTGAATTTGTTTTTACTTTTATACCCTTTATTTTGTTAGGTGTGTGTTTGTTAGTAAATCAGGATTTTAATTGCTTTATGTTTCTTTTTCTATTAATTTCCTATTTTAATTATTAGTTAATAATTCCTTAGTGTTTCCTTTTATAATAATTTCCTAGTTTAATGCTCATTTTTTTTTTTTTTAGTTTCTTTTCTTTTTTGCTGCTGTTTTTTTTAGCTAGCTCTCGTATTCTATTTTTCATTTCTCCGTTTTCTATCGGCATTTTTTTTTTCTATTCATTTCCTATTTGTCGTCGTCCTCGGTTGTCATCCTTATTGTTGAATCACATAAGTTGTATAGGATTTGCTCTTACAGATTTTGTGTTTCTGATGTTTTTTTTTAGGGTTCAATTTTTTTCAGCATTTACTTTTTTCAACGTTTCTTTTTTTTTTTTAGCATTTTTTTTTCAGTATTTTAATGTTTGAGATTATTTTGGGTATTTTTGTTTTATTTTTAACCAAATCTGTTAGTTTTTTAATGTTTTATATTTTATGACATTTAGTTAAAAGTGAAATATGACATTTGCTTAAAAACTCCATATTTTAATAAGACCAATAGTAACAGTATGATGTATGTCCCTAACAAAAAATCAAACCCAATGGAGGATACTCGAGAAGGTTTCCACCATCAATGACTTATTAGGAATTATCTTCGTGAACCCAATATCATCGTTCTTCACGATTTCACCATATTTAGCCTTGGAGTATTTGAGTGTTGTAGCAACTGTATATGTAAATATGAAAAAAAAATTGAATACACGTAATGGTCTAACGAATTGAATTGAAAGAAAAAAAAACCATTATGAAATAAATAAATAAAAGATACATAGAATGACCATTGTAAATGAAAAAAAAAAAAAAAAAAATGAATTGAAAGAAAAAAAAAAACCATTATGAAAAATAAATAAAAGCATACATAGAAATGACCATTGTAAATGAAAAAAAAAAAAAAAAACATATATAGAAATGAAAAAAAAAAAAAAAACATATAGAAAACTGATACTCAACCAAGAGAATATATATAGCTAGATAAATTTAAATTTCAAAATTTAAAAAATATTTTATTTTTATTTTTATATTTAAAAAATATTTTAGTGGCCAATCAAATTATAAAAATGATAGTAAAAAAAGTTTTAATCATATAAGTTTAAATTTCAAAATTATTGATTAATATCATAAAATATTAAAATTTTAATTTAAAAATATTTTAGTGGCCAATCATACAATAAAAATAACAGCAAAAAGAAAGAAAAAAAGCTTAAAAAATTGTAAAAAAAGAAAAATAGGAATACTCAAAGAGTAGAATGATCCGTCAGTATTTTAAAATATTTTTTACTTCAGAATAATATATATATATAATTTTCAAATTAGGATATTAATTGTGATAAAAAGTAAGTTGGATATAATTTTCAGTATTTTAATTTTATTTAATTTTTATTTTTATTTTTTTTATATCTTAGCCGTTTAAGGGTAAAGGGTTTAAGCCTTAATGTAAGGAAGCTAAAGCCCCCCGAATCCCCAAACTAAAAGCTGAAACAAACCATTCTCTCCTAGTTACGTTGGAAGAGATGTATCTACGACAAATCGCAGCAAATGTTCTAAAGAGGGTCCGAAATTCAACTCAAAGCATCAATCATAGAAAATCGATTAATTCATTTTCCAATTTGCTCTCCAGTACGTAACTTTTGTCTTTCTTCAATCATAGTTCTTGCCTTATTTCAACCATCTCTGTTACCTTTACTTCTTAGCCTCTTTTATTTTTGGTGATATAAATGAGTATTATCATTATTTGTTAGTGCATTATAGATAGATTTGTCATTTTATTTTGTCATTTTGGTATTAAATAATATTGCACTCATAATCTGTATTGTTTGTTTTTTTCAGGTAAAACAAGTTTTTCCTATAAATATGGTTATGGGAAGTCTAGTTCGAGGGTGAATCATAAAGATCATTATCTGTGGAGTATTATAGTTGGACCAGCTGGTATATTTCTGTTCCATTGGGTGCGTGGATATTCAATTGTAATTTCGAATTATCAAAATATTATTATCATCTTTTTTTTTTTTTTTTTTTTTTTTTTTTTTTTATTTTTTTTTGTTGCTGTTTTTTAGCCTGTCTATGGTAGCCTTTCTAGTTTGATTTTTCTAGGACTTTTTTTTTTTTTTTCGCAATGGTCAGTTATTAGGTGGAATTTCTCAGGACCGTGGAATGGTACAAAGCCGTTTTAGGAACCAAAATTGAAGGAATCATTCAATTAATTTTTTTCTTGGCAATTTTTTTTTTTTTTTTTTTTTTTTTGGTGTTTTTTAGCTGTCTATGGTAGCCTTTCTAGTTGATTTTTCTAGGACTTTTTTTTTTTTTCGCAATGGTCAGTTATTAGGTGAATTCTCAGACCTGGAATGGTAACAAGCCGTTTAGGAACCCAAAATTGAAGGAATTCATTCAATTAATTTCTTTCTTGGCAATTCTCTTGTTTGGAATGAAAAAATTAATGGAATTCTATTCTGTTAATTAAAAAAAAAAAAGAAATCATTATAAAGGAAATAGAAATGTTTTTACAGAATTTTAAAAGAATTTATCAACTGCTTGGGTCTATAGTTAAATGACATCAATACTCTCACAATAAGCACTAACCTTAAACAAATAAGCTAACTAAGGAAATATTATATATTGAATTCATTGTTTATTATTCCAAACAATAGAGTTCATAAAAGCAAGGAATTATTTCATAAATTGAATCAATTTTGTATTTGGATTTATGCATTTGATTTGAAATCTAGGATTTCAAATATTGGATTTGAAATTTAGAATTTGAAAGTCATGAGTTTTAAAATCTTTGTTTTGCGAATAAGAAGAATTTCAAATCCTGAATTTGAAATTTGTTGTTGGATAATTAATTAACCAATGTATAGAATGCATAAAGTTGTCATCATATGATCTTGTTTTAGAAATTTCAACATAATAAATTAAAGCAATTAATTCATCAGTTTTCTGCAAAACACCGCCACCGACAAATTAATTCTAATAGCCAACTGACTTCAAATGTCTTTCACCAGGACTGCATGAAATATAGCATGAATCACCATTTATCTAAATTCAATACAATTAAAACTAAGTGAGTACAAAGTGCTCTCATTGTTAAGAAGAAACTCTATCCAATCTATTTTCTCATGATCAGGGAGAGACTTGGCCAAAAAATTTCGTCTGCATTGCCTCTCATAAGCTTTCGAACTGTAGAAAAGATATTCACTTGATTAAGTCCAGGAATTTGTGAGAATACAGCATAAATTTCCACTCCAGTAGGTTATGGGCATTCACAATTCTTCTTACTTTCCAAATATTCTTTGAATGGGTGAGCTATTTCCATAATTGCATCATCTTTTGATCCATTTTTCTGTGGCTAGGGAGTGTTACGCTTTGGTTTTCTCTTTAGTTTCGATAAAGGGGGGGCTGCCTGACACGGTTGTCTAGTCATCTGACAGTTGGCAATTACAATTTATGAAGAGATCGGATAACTTTTCAGTGTGGTGCCTACGGTTGTCTAGTCATCTGACAGCTTGAAAGACTTACTCTGTGTTATGTTTTAATATTCTATTATGTGCAACTTTGAAAAACGTTTTTATCTAAAAGAGATGCATAATGCTCTGATGTGAGATTCTAATGTCATCATCAGATTCTATTTTTTAGACAAAATTAAAAATAATCGATTTCTTTTATTTTATTTTATTGTGTGTTTTTTTTTTGTTTATTTATTGTGTTTATTTTGTTTTGTTTTGTGTCTTTATTTTATTTTATTTTGGCGGTATTTTTTTTCAAAATATTTTAGTCAGTTTAACTTCCTTAAAACCATTTTTATTCCTTTAAATTTTCTTCTTTATTATAACTTTTCTTTTCAGTGTTTCTTTCTTTCCTAAATTTTATAACTTCTTTAAATTAATCACTTCTCTCTTCTATTAAAACTATTTTTCTCTTCTCTATCTCCTTCTCACAAACCATGAGTTGCTAATCATGTTATTGCAACAGATTGCAGTCACCACAACAGTCTACTGTGAAGGGTATTCTGATATGTATTCTTTCTGTTTCGTTGTCTCTTTATTTTCTTGTGCTCTTTATTAACTGCTTTGATTTGATTGATCTTAGAGGCTTAATTCATTATTAGGTTTTAGTCTATTTAAAGTGTTATCTCCTGTCTTAGCAGTTGAATATTTATTAGTAGAAAACTTATATTGTTTCCTATTGTTTGAAATCATGAGAGTTTAAACATTAGAGTGCACTAGTTTTTTATACAATCATGAGTATTTTCTTCTGCTCTTCCCCACGGCACCCTTGCTTGAGTGCTTTAGCCTTTGGGCACAAGTCCTAGTGCACTAGTTTTTGACACACACTATACTTTCCTAATCATATTTTTCACTAGATTTCCTGTGCACAATAAACTTAGGTGTAAGGTTTAGGCTTTCTTCTTAAAGTTATGATTGCAGATTAACTCTTACTGCACTGATATTTTGGAGATAGTAATACTGCAATTATATGATAGAATCTAGGTCGTCTTCTATGAAGGAAAACGTTGTTCAGTCTCATATATTGGATAACATATCATTTCAATTCTGTTGGGACAAACATTACTGCAAAATAACCAACTAATGATTTTCAAATGGTTCATGCTTTTTCTTTCTTTCTTTCTTTCTTTTTTTTAAATGTTAAATGACTAGCTTCTTATACTCTAGGAGAAGAAGCAACAACTTTATTTGCTTAGTTTCCATTTCCAAGATCTGAATTCTTGGCCCTTATCATTTGAACTTTGAATGTACTTTTGTTCTAAAGTTACATATGGGCAATGGAATGGTCTTAAGAAAGGGACACTGTATCCATGTCTTTTATACAATTGTTAGTTTCATTGGGGATCAGCTTCTCAGTTGATTAGGTGCTCTCTGACTTCTTTTGTGGTTTGTACTGCCAATGATAAATTGCTGATGTCTGTTTTTGGAATGGCGCTAATGGTTTGCAGCGATCATTCTTGGGGAGAATGACAACGCTGTCTTCGCTAGTGCATCAAATGACAGTGGTACTGAAACGGAATCAGAAGGTACTAACACAAATGGATTACGCAAAATTGAGGATGGTTCTGTAATTTCAAATGAGCATACTTCTAAATGGAGAATATTTACTGATAACGGGAGGGAATACTTTGTGCAGGTAAGCATGTTGCCCTTTCCCTCAGTTCTCTCTCTCTCTCTCTCTCTCTCTGTGGATATATGTTCTTTAATTTGCTGTTACAATTTTGTACTTCTACTCAAAATTTAGCCTCCATTTCTTTGATAGGGAAAATTGGAACAAGCTGAAAAGTTCTTCTTTTCTGCCCTAGAAGAAGCTAAAAAGGGTTTTGGTGATAGGGATCCTCATGTTGCTTCTGCCTGCAACAATTTGGTTGGTCTACTGCTCAGTAATTTGCTGATAGTTTTAATGCATACTTTTTCTTTTCTTAACTCTAGTTTAAAATTGTTGTATTAGAAAAAAACTTTAGCGATGCAACTATATAAACATGTACTTCTTTCTTTTTTTCTTTTTTGGAGATCACTGAGTGATTACTATTAGAATTAGATTTGCTCATCCAGATTTATTCAATAGATGAATTTGTATGGCAAATTTATCGGCATATGAAGATTTTTCCAGTGTTTTATATTTAGGGTAAAGAGATGGAGAGTGTGTTGCTTTTGGAGAATGTCTGGTGTGAGGACTAGATCCCGATGGATATTTTTTTGTGACCCTTCTACTATAGCTAGATTTGGCAATCTCTCAATTGCAGTCCCGGCTTAATTTTATTCGCAATTTTAGCAGCTGAGATTTGAATTCTGTCAGAAGAAAAAGTTGTGGTGGAGGCAGTAGATGGCGGAGGTTTAGTGGCTAATTATATTATATAGACTGATTGAGTTCTTTATGTATATATTGGATCATGCCGAGAATAGGAACAATCTAGATAAATATTTTAGCATGTTCAATGGGGCAGAGTGCAGGACTGTGACTTGAGAGATTACCTTGTTTTGTGTAGATTTTGTAGGTGAGAAACAGTATGACATATGAAGGGTTTGGTTATACTTTTGCAAAACTGAGGGTGGAAGTTGTGGAGCTTAAGCTTCTGTTGAATTTGTTTTCCCATATCGTTTGTGAGCACCTTTGCTTCCTTGAACTCTAATTCATGGTTCTTTTTCTTTTTATAGCTCTTGCATGTTATTCAACCTGTGTGCTTCAACGCATAGCCTCTGGATTTTTTAATTTAATTGAATTTATTTCTTATAAAGAGGAAAATATTTTATGTTCTATGCATTATCCGCCATTAAATGTACAAGTAGCCAATACTGAGGATTAGTTGTGTTCTCTCTCAAGCAAATTGTGATTTGGAAACATGTTTTATAGGAGGCAACTAAAATCTCTTGTCAAACATTGCCAAATGAAAAGTAATTGTTACATCATTCTCTTCTTCCAGGCAGAGTTGTATAGAGTCAAGAAGGCATTTGGTGAAGCAGAACCTTTGTATTTGGAGGCCATCAACATACTGGAGGAATCGTTTGGTCCAGAGGATATACGGTTAGTAGTATTATTAGGACAAATAGTTTCATAATCATCAAATCATTTTGAATCTAAGTTCACAACTCAGTCCCTTATGGTTTGAGTTTATTTTATTTTTATTTTAGTTTGTTAACCAATTATTAGTTGTATTTAATCGACTTTTATAAGGAATATGCATCCTATTGAATATCATTAACTTGGTTTGCACAGGGTTTTGTCTACTTTAGGATGAGAAAATGGGTTTCGCTCTTACTATATTCTCTCAAATCTCTAGAATAAATGACATTGGAGGCATGCTTTACAGAAGTAGCAATAGCATTTTTGGGGAGAGATGGTAAGTATTATTCTGGCAGAAATGGTGGTTGTGTGCTAGAAAGGGTGACCATGCTCTTTAGAGTGATTTTCTAGAACATTATAAGGTTTGAGAGGATATACTATTTAAATTATAGTTCAAGCTATTTGGTGGCTATAGAAAGGTGCATAATCATTTTCCAAGGGCATTTCAAGATTGTGATATCAATTTGAGTTTGGGAACTTTGGAAAATAGCCCAAGTTGACTTGTGGATGTGCACAAGTGATACTTGAGTTCATGTATCTTAGAGTAAGGAAACAATTACATTACATGACCTCTATTAGAGAGTCATGCTTTTCCTTTTTCTGCTGGGATTTAGAATTTTGGTGAGGAAATTCCAAACAACTACCAAAATGGAACTTTGGATTCAAAAAATAAATTAAGAACTTTTAGAACGTCCTATGAGGCTTGAGTTGCAAACATAACCTTTTGCCCTCTGCATAAGAAAATGCCATCACTCAAAATAGAACACTTAATAAAAATTACTTTTACCTAAAAATTTTCTATAACGATCTATCAATTGTCACACCCTTTGTGAAATTTCTTGAGTAATTATTCGCTTTGGATCAAGTCAAAGGTTTTGTCCTATAGGTGGAATGGATAACTTCTCAAGAGGTCACTTGTTAATGAGCACTAAAACTTAAGATGAACAAAAGGATTGAAAAAAGAGAATGGTGGATGTATTGTTGTTGAAACTGTCCTGTTCAAGATGGACAAATCTCCAGTACAAATTGGAATTCAAAATAATTTTCCAGATGATGTCCAAAAGGAAATATCCTAGGTCTATTTATAATAAAAATTCGTAGGTTTATGGGATAACAACTTAAATTGAAATGCTGAAATGTAGGAAGCATAACCACTCCTCAAGCCACTCATTCAACAGAAACGCTGACCTATTCTTGTGCTAACTGAATCAACAAATCAGCAGGACCAATTAGAGATAAGAATTGGTCAGCAACTAACTCTTCTTCTCTCTCACTTGCATGTTGATGTTTATGTCTTATTTCATAGACCTGTAAGGGTTGTGGGTTTGTATCATCAACCATCCTAGGATTTCCCTTAAGCGAACATACGTAACCCCAGAGTTCTTCTAACTCTTCAGGCTATTTCAATAAAAGGTGCTTCTAATGATTAGTTTTCTCTATTTCAATATATGATTGATTTGTTCCTGAGCCCCGCATTCTACTACCTTAGTTAACCTGGCATCCTAGAAGCTTACTAGGAGTTTTGCTCGCGCAGGTGGAATGGGAAACTTCTAGATGATCACCCATCATAGGATTTCTCTTTAGCAACCACATTTAACCCAATAGTTCTTCCAACTCTCCAGGCTATTCCATTAAAAGGCGTCTATAGTGATTAATTTCCTCCGTCCCAATGTATGATTGATTTATTCCTGTGTCCCGCATGCTACTACCCTAGCTAGCTTGTCACTTAGAAGCTTGCCAAGAGATTTGTTCTGCCTGCCCTCTTCGGACCATTTGCCGGGTCGGGATGTCACTCAAATGATGTGAAAAAGTTCTACTGAATGTCACATAAGAGACCCACGCGAAATGAACCTAAAGTTGCACAATTTAGAAGTCAGGTGAAATTAACTAGCAATATCCTTTTCCCATGGCCGGATAACTATTATTCCTGGGGGTATAGTTTTATTTGGTGTATTTCATTCTAAAATTGAAGTTTTAATTTGGAATGTAATTTTGAAATATGGAATTCATAGTGGAATGTATTGATTAGTATATGTGGAATGGAACGGAATTGTAATTAAAAATTTCACATTCCAAATTTATATTTACCTTTTTTATTATATTTGAAATATAATTAAATATAAATAATTTATAAGGGAACACCAATCCTACCTCGTTTAAAAATAGATGTTTTTTTTGTCAATAATTAAATTGTCCTTTTAATATTTTAAACTAAATTTGGATAAATAAAGCAGCTAATTATAGAGTTTGAGAATTTTTATTTATTTATTAAAGTAGGAGATTTTTCCAAAATTCCAAACCGTATTTCATTCCAAACAAAAAAACTATTGGAATAGAATGAAATGCATTTTTAAATTCCAAAATATTTTGGAATGGGGTCATTCCAATCCATTTTAGTTGAAGCAATTGTTGGCGTTAAATTTTGAGTAATTGAAATTTAATGTTTTGAACTATATTCATATGTTAGTTAATAGTCTCCCAGTGTATGAATTATTAAAATGTAGGATCAACGTTTCTCCTTCCACTTGCATTGCTTCAAGAAGCTCATCCATAATTTTACTACTCCTTTGTTAAGTTGTTAAGAAGGATGGTGTTAGATGGTTTTGTAATCTGATATGAAAGTTTATATTTCTTAACTCAAGAATTTTTCTTTCTATCAGTTTCTTTAGATTTGATGTACTTCAGTCCTGGTTTTTTTAACTTAACATTCTTTGGCTAAGTTGGATGTATTGGGAGGCTTATTAGTCTGGTTTTAGTTGCTAAGATTTGTTAAGTTTTTTCCTGGAATTATTATTAATAAAATAAAAATTTGTTGATAAAAAAAACAAATTTACTACTCCTTTAGTACCAAACGGTTGCCACCTTATTTTTTTCACAATGTTCAAGGAATATAGCAAATGCTATGCCAACTCATATTTTATACACAATTCTTTGTTTTGTACCCCTTAATCATCCTTTATGTCATAATAAATGAGCTTTTGAATTGAAGAATTAATAAGGGGTAAATTAGAAAAATTAATTCCAAAAATCTGACTTTGTGGAAATAGGCATGTTTATTTGGGACCTCCAAAAAGGGAATAGTGGAAAAAATTTTGTGATGGAGGGAGTATATCTTTGCTTCAACCTATGACATTTGTATTGGTTTATATAACTAAACAGTTAGTAGTCTCCATCATTTTCATCATCGTTACTCATGTAAGCATTCATGTTATTCTCAGTGTGGGGGCTGCATATCACAACCTTGGACAGTTTTATCTTGTGCAGCGGAAACTAGAAGAAGCTCGTAAATGCTACGAGGTGATTGTGATTTCATATCTTGTGCTTATTATGCTTAAGAGTTATACCTCTTATGATTAAGAGGTGTAGAGACTTGTTTCAACTTTTTTTTTTCTCTGTTGGTTGCATTTGTGGGTTAAATTCCATATTCTTGTGTTGTTGAAAACTTTTCTCAGCCATGGACATGTTATTTTCCACCCTAAAACATTTTCTTGTCGTAGTATAGCAAGGAGCAGAATAAAATTTTCAGCAGCTCATTGTACAATTCATTTGTGGAGTGGTTGTACTGTGTATTTTTACTTCTTCACTTCTCTAAATTCTTCTCATTTTCCTTCTAGTATGCCATTTTTATCATCCACCTTACCAGGTTCCACACGCCTTTGCAATATGGAATTTTCAGATGCTTAAACGCCAGCAACAATTACATGTAATTTCATATTTTCATTAAGAAGATAGACATCTCTTTGTATGTGCTTTTTATGGTTATTTCTATTACTTGGTTTCTCTTCTTGCATTTTTGGCTTTTAAATGCAAACAAAAATATTACTATCAAGACATTATCTTTTCAGTCTGTGTCTAAAATGGTACAGGATAAGTCTAATGATTAATCCTACTATTTTACTATCACTTTGTACTGATCTGGGTTTTTGTTCTTGTTGATTTTTCTTTCGGCAGCATGCTTTAAAGGTATGAACAACTTCTTTACATATATATATTTTCCCTCAATGGCAAGAAAATTTTCTTGTTTGTTGTTAACTTATATTTGATTTGCAGCTCGTTTTTGTAGCTTGAAATTTGAACTTATAACAACCAATACCACCTTGTAATCTTTCAGATAAAGGGGCGTGTTCTGGGACTTGGCCACGCAGATTATGCAGATACGATGTATCATCTTGGAACAGTAAAACTCTTTGCCATTCATTATATTTTTCTTTCAGCTTTATTATTTTTATTTTTTTTATCAAGGTTTCTATTTATGCTCATGTTATTTTTTTTTTTATCAAGGTTTTTATTTTTATTTTTATTTTTATTTTTATGCTCATGTTATTATCCAGAATAGTTTGAGAAACTATCAGAAAGCTTAAAAGATTTTGCAAATAACTGAATGTCAATTTGAATTCATAGCAAAATCCCAAATCCAAGCTGTAGGCAAAGTTGCTTTGTGTATCACTTGGGCCTTTATTTAAATAGGAAAGAAGACAAAAAAAAAAAAAAAAAAAAAAAGAACACGTAAAAGAACCTTTGCATTCATTATTATTTCTTCAGGCTTTATGCATTTTTATTTTTTTTTATCAAGGTTTCTATTTATGCTCATGTTATTTTTTTTTTTATCAAGTTTTATTTTTAATTATTTTATTTTTATTTTCTATGGCTTCATGTTATTGTATTCCAGAACTAGTTGAGAAACTATCAGAAAGCTTAAAGATTTGCAAATTAACTAAATGTCAATTTGAATTTCAATAGCAAAATCCAGATACTCCAAGCTGTAGGCAAAGTTGCTGTTGTGTATCAACCTTAGGGCCTTTATTTAAAATAGGAAAGAAGACAAAAAAAAAAAAAAAAAAAAAAAAAAAAAAAAATCAAAGGAAAAAAAAAAAAAAAAAAAAAATCAAAGATTGTAAATACATTAAATTCTATGGTAACTTCGAAAATAAAATCTTAATTACAATTTGATATCCATGCCTGGAAATAACTTTGTTTATTATCTTCTGGTGGTCTTCCTCATTGCTTCCCAGTTTAAATGAACTAGGCTCTAGAGAGTGATACTGTAGATACAATTCGGCAACTATGTCCCACAATATAAAATCACCTTCCATAAGCTATATTGCATCAGATTTAGGATTGCCTTTCTATCACAAGTAACTGCAGAAATCCACCATGAGATGTAGCAACATGCTCATTAATAGAATGGGTCTTCTCCACATTTCATGAAAGTGTCCTTGAGTTCTTATCTAGTTTGTTGTTTAACATGGCAGCTAAAGTTTGGTAACTTCATATTAATAGATTGGGAAAAAATAAATTCGCTTTATATAATTTTATGAGTACATGCTTTGTTCTTTATTGTTCCTTCTTTTTCATTCCCCTCCCTCTCTCTCTCTCTCTCTCTCTCTCTCTCTCTCTCTCTCTTCTCTCTCTCTCATTTTTCAAGTTGACTTATCAATTGTTCATATAATTACGCAATTAAGGTCTATACCTGCAAGCTCTCTCTCTCTCTCTCTCTCTCTCTCTCTCTCTCTCTCTCTTCATTTTCAGTTGACTTATCAATTGTCATATAATTACAATTAAGGTTCTATACCTGCAAGGAAAAGAACAGGATGCTGAAGTCCTTATCCAGGAGTCTATTCGAATATTAGAGGTACATGAATTACTCAAAACTAGGGCTGGTTTTGGGTTTTCTTCTACTTTTGATATAACTTGACAGTGTGGCTGCCATATCTTGTTTGTTTATGTAGGAAGCTGGCCAAGGGGAGTCAGGTATATGCACGATGAGGTTGCGCAATCTTGCTCAGGTTGTACCTTGACATGTTCCATTACACATATGATACAATTTTTATCCGTGATGATTACAGCTATCTAAACATACATTCTTAAGTTCTTTAAATGCTATATGTACTATTTATTTCTCATGCAGAACACAATATCTATATTCTTTGTATCCATCTCCCAAGTCTGTCTGGTTGCTACATTTCTCAATCTTACTCCTTAAGTTTAGGGTAGTTAAAAAGGGGGCAGTTTTGATGTCTTCAGACTGTGTTAATTCATTTTGGTGGGAGAATTGTTCTTACCTTTATAAATATTCATCGTGACTCCTATTTATCTTTTATGTTAATTGCATGATGTTATCTATGTATAACCTCTGGTACAAACCAGAGTAGAGAAGAACAAAGCAGGGAACAATGAAGAAAATATCAGAGAGAGAAAGAGTGGATTATATGAGAATAACTTTATACTTTTATGATAGTGAATTAAGAAAGTCCTTTGAATGACATGGGATTCAATAAACTAAATGAAAATTGCTTATGGTAACCTATTAAGCTGCATTTTTTTGGAACTGCAACTTTATTTTGTCTTTCCTAGGTGAGGAAAGGAAGATACTAGGAATAAGATAGCATACATCCAAATGAATTTTTTGTTTTCTTGTGAATGTTATTGATATTGTTATCACATAAAATACTAGTATGTTGTTCCATGGATAACTTTAGTTTTATTCTTGGTCTCATTCAGATGTATCTAAAATCCAATAATCTTGAAGAAGCCGAGAAATTACAGAGAAAGATCCTGCATATTATGGAAGTATCAAAGGTTTGACTTATTTTCTTTATCTGATTTTTTGGTTTTACTTCTACTGCAAACTGGTTCTATCTGAGAATGTGACTGATCTTCTGTGTTTTCCAACCTTCTTCTATTTGGCATGCGCACGCTTTATAATTGAGACTTTTGCATTTAAAATAGTATTTCTTGCCCTATGGTCTCTGATTTTGTATTCTTTGTTTCAAGATCATGCTTTCCATTGCAGACTCTTCTGTCAAGCTAGGCAAGTACTCAGCACTGACTCTATCAAGTACTTAACCCCCCAGCATAAAAAAAAAATTGGAAAGAAAAAGAAAGAAAAACTAAGGGTGTGTTTACTTATAGAAAATAGTTTTATGTATTCTATTTTTTGTTCTTAGAAAACAATTTCCTTAAAAGATAAAAACTAGAAAATAGAAAATGGAAAATGCGTTCACTTGGTAACAATAAAAAGTCATATTTTAATTTAAATACTTCATAAACATTATTCATAACTTTCATAATTAAAAGAAATAAAATATTATAAAATAAATTTAAAATTTTTTGAATCTTTATTATTGATTATTTATAATAATAATATATCTTTATTATTGATCTATTGATCAACTAATATATCAATAATAATAATATCAATTTTTATCATTTTCTAAATTTTTTCAGAAATAAAGGATATAATATATTTGTAATAATAAAATTAATTATATATTAAAGCATAATATAATCTTTTTATGTTATTTAAATATTTTTATTTTTTCAATGAAAATATTCTATAGAAAATTTTTTCATAGATATTATAATTTTAATTATGAAAATGTCATTTTCTAAAAATAAAAAACAATTGGAAAATATGTCTTTTATTATAAAGGAAAATTGTGGAAAACAAATTAAAACTGTTTTTCAAATCTTAGTTAAATTTTGGAAAATTGTTTTCTAGTTTTCCAAATAGAAAACTGACTGGAAGCCTGGCAAATATGATAGAAAGTCGTTTGCTTCTTGCCAAAGCTTTTGCCTTTCTTTTGAATGAAAGTAGGTTAGGTCGCAGTGATTTGTACACAAAACTCTATTTTTCAGTTTTCTTGGAAAACTTTTCTAGAAAGCTACTCCAGTTCTCTACAAGGAAACACACCCTAGTATTCTTATGTTTATTATTCCACTAGGCTCATACAATGGAGTGTTTTTTTTTTTTTTTTTTTTGAGTTTTTTTTTTTTTTTTTTGTTTATCTTTTGTCTTGTTTCACTTATTTTTCCTTCCAGCAGACATTTTGTAAACTCCTTCAATTAGATTTGGTTCTTTTGTGTAGGTTTTGGATGCATTACCTTTCAGGCTTAAGTTTCTGATTCTCTTCCCTTATTTTCTTGATTTTATTTTATTGGGAGTTTTGGCTCTTATATATGCTCCTCATTCTTGGGTTCCTATGAACATAAATTTTATCATAAAATAAGTATGTAAGCTATCAATGTAAAAGTGTTATAAATTAAGTTAAGAAAACAAATGGCTATTGGCTTGTTGATGTGTCATATTGAAAAGGAAAGTATTAATGTATTTATATGTGCAACATATTCTCGTAGTGGAATTGCATTATGGAAATTTAAAATTTTAAAACAAAACGCTCTTGTGGCATTTAAAATATCTTTAATAATTGGTCCTTATCTAATTGGTAGCACCATAAGATTTCATGATCTCCTAACTTTATAATTATTTAATGCCAGCATCAGTTCTTTAAGTACCTATCTTGTGAGACAGGGATGGAATTCAATGGACACTGTAATTGCAGCTGAAAGATTAGCCTTAACTCTACAATCAGCTGGGAGCTTAAAGGAAGCACAAGAGCTTCTTCAAAGGTAAACAGTCATAGAGTAATTCTGTAGAATGAAAGAAGTTATCATCCAAGAGTTAATAATATTTTGTTTTTTCTTTAAGGTGTCTTGAGACTCGGAAAACCTTACTTCCCGATGATCACATTCAGGTTTGATGTATCATCAGCACATAAATTATTTACAAAGACGGGGTTGATATCATTTTGATTATGAATTGTGATATAGGGATACTATTTCATTTGATATTTGCTGCTTTCTTGGTAAAAAAAATGTGTTCACTGCTACTAATAGGAATGAGTTAAAACCACATAGACCATGATTGAAATGAAACTTGTTTTCGTTTCCATGTACAGATTGGTGCTAACATGCTTCACATTGCGAGGGTGGCAATGCTGAATGCAAATCGACTAAGAAGGATTCATGTTTCTGAAGCAATTTCTGAGCTTGACAAGGCAAAAGAGCTTTTGTGCAATTCAACAAGGTTTGTTATTTGTTATCTTAAATTTCCTTGCAAATCAACTTTTAAGCATAAGGAAAAAAAAATTGAAATTCTCTATTCATTAAATACATATGTAGATGTCTTAATGTCTTCTATCATAATCCTTTCATGTGTTTTTAAATTTGCCTTTTTGATTTAAATTCTAACCATTAGTTACATGTACACCTTGTTCATTTTCCATGTAACGCATTAGCCTTTGTTTATATGCAATAGCAAATACTGTTATTTGAATGTAAGTTACTTATCTATTAGATATTTACTGTTGAGAAAATGCAACAAAGAAAAAGCATCTTGCTAGTTTCAATGAGAACAATAAGAGTATGCTCTGTTTGATTTAGACCACCAATCCGAACCAAATTTTGGTGGTTTGGTTGGATTTTACTTTCTAAATAGTTTGGTTTGGTTTAAGAAAATAAAAAATTTTGGTTTATATTTTGGTGTGATTTTTAGACTTATATAGTTTATAAATAAATATTTTATATGTTATTTATGAGATTACCTTTTTAATTTTTTCAGAATTTATTTTAAGTAACAATTGCTCAAGTAATGTGACCCTTTTCTTTTCATTATTTTCTAATAAAATAGGGACATTCTTGAATTTTCTGGGGTGACTTAAGTTATGTCTTTTTAGTGGAGTGATGAATTGATTGCTCATGGGATGAAGAGGAGGAGAGAAGAGAAAGAAATAAAAGCGAGAAGGGGGGGGGGGGGTTTAGGAGAGAAGAGAAAGAAATAAAAGCGAGAAGGGGGGGGGGTGGTGTAATGGAATGGGTTTAACTTTCATATGACTGTAGGTGCTTATACGGTGCCTTAATTCTGGGGGGGGGGGTGTTTATATGAATGGGGTTTAACTTTCATATGACTGAGGTTTTAGGCTTAATTAGAAATCTCTTTTTGTGAAAGACTTTCTGAATTTTTGGAGTTGGCATGGAATAGGTTTGGAAGATGGTGTACTTGAGGTTATTGTTTTGTCAGTTTGTGTTCTTTACCTTTCATTCCTTGCTAGTTATGTCCGTCTAAATTTGGGTTCCTAGAATTTTAGGGTCCAACTTTTACTATAGCAATTCCTTCATGACTTGCTGTGAATATGTTATGCTAGTTCTGAGTATCTTTTGTCTCATTCTTATTAATTAAAAAGGAGGGGCGATGTCACTGTATTTTACTAATTCCCTGATATTTAATCATAGAAGATTCAATATTAATTTTGTACCGATGCTTTAAAGGAAGAATTTTATAGAAGAGTCAATTTATTTATTTTTTCTATTAGAACCATATTCCTACTGGTATAGATTCTTACAGATTATTCATATGCAGTTCTCTTTGCATGATAGGATAGCACAGCAAGTTTTAAAAAAATTGAGAAACCAATCATGGAGCAGGCAGAAGGCTGAGGTATCTGAAGAAACTAGGAGGCATGGACGTGCAGCATTGGTCATATTGGTCAGTTCCTTTTATTTTGTGAAACTTGGTGACATATTTCAATATACGAAAAAGAGCTCTATCTTAAAAAGTCCAATGATTTTTCTTTTACCTTTGTGTAAAATGCTTCTTTTTCTTTTAATTTTGTATTTCTTCTCATTTAATTTTGTCAAAGTATCATTTTTTTTTTTTTTTCAAATTTCAAGCCCCAATGTTTTTGTTGCTAAACCTTGTGCAATATACTGTTCTTGCATTAACTTGATGAATCATGGAGAGTGAAAAACTTGGTCCATGAGAGGAATTATATGTAAGTTTCAGCCAAGGCATTATGAGGATAGCTGATTGTAGGTCATTAAATTACACTCACTCTATTACTATACTGTAATTCCATGGCAGGAATAGAGGTTCTTGAAATTTCATTAAATTCTCATAAATCATTGTAAATGTGTGGTTAGGCCAACGTTTCAACATTAAGTTGGTTGTGAAGTTGGGAAACTGTGGTCTTGTTGCAGATAAATCATATGTGAAGGGATGGTTGATCGCTGTTATTGTTCCTTCCAGTGCTGTTAACTTCATCTTCATTGTCTTCTCACCTGTTTTCTCATGTTTCTTGCCTATCAAGAGCAAGCATTAAAATGTGCATACGTGCGTCATCAGATTAGCATATAACAGAATTAGATTGTGATCAAATGTCAATTATACCCTTTATTGCTTGTTGAAACTATCACATATCACGAATCTTGTTATGATCTGTGGGTTCGTATGCCTAAAAATGTATAATTAACACTGAGCTAGTAATTTTGGATGCTTAATATGTGCCGATCTATTTTATGACATGGTATAAATTGATGGAAATTCTGTTGTTGCAGATGCAATCACTTGAGACTGTTGGGCTTGTGGAGCTTGCAAAACAAGAGCTACAGGAGTCAATGGTGAGTAACTTAATATTAAAGAAGATGATTAATTAATGATAAAATTTTGTATGTTTTCACCTGTAGTCTCACAGTAGAAAATAACTTTGCTTTGACTTGGTGGACATTATTGCAATGTCAAAAATGGTTTTACCTCATTTGAGAACATGTGCACAGGTATAATTATTAGGGGGGATCAGTTCACCAATTTGGGTCAAATCTTTAATCAAGTTATTTTTCAAATTAACCGAATTTACTGAACTACATATTTAACGGAATTTAACCAAATTAAATTGGCTGAATTAATTTTTGTATTAACTACACCGAAATAAATGGAAATGAAAACCAAATTAACCGACCAATTTTATCCAAAATGTCTCATTAACCGATTTTATATATTAACCCTAATATTTGTTTTTTAATTCTAATCACTAAGACAATGTTGTTCATTCTTTGGTCAATTTGATTGATATGGTTAGATTCAGTTTTAATCGAACCGAAAATCAATTACCCATTCACTGAACCAAATTGGCTGATTTAACCAAATTTGCCGGATCATTTGCTCATCCCTTTTATGCAGAAATTATTTATTTGGTTAGGATGTGTTAAATGTAAAATTGTATTTTAAAGTGACGGCATAGGCATGCTCAAATACATCATGAATATTCTTTATTAGGGTCTTGTTCTCATGAGATCTGTTTACTTTTCCTGAAGTACCTATTACTGTGAAAATCCATTTTGACCAAACATTCCCTACCACCCCACCCTGCCCTGTTTTTTTTTTTTTTTTTTTTTTTTTTTTTTTTTTTTTTTTTTTTTTTTTTTTTTTTTTCTTTTTTTTTTTTTTTTTTTGTTTTCTATTTAAGTGCTTGTCTTTTTTTTTTTTTTTTTTTTTTTTTTTTTTTTTTTTTTTTTTCTATTTTAAGTGCTTGTCTCGTATATCTTCTGTAGTTTGGTGTCAATATCACTAATATTTCCACAAAGGCCGCCGTTTCTGTTTGGCATGCATCTGCAGTAGATACCACTACTTAGATATGCCAGATACATTTCTGATACCTCTAAACATCCTCAAATTATTATGTTTGCACTAACTTGGCGGTTTGTCCAAAATTTCCAAGATTTTCATGTTACATTATTCTTATAGGCTTTAGGGTATATCATCTCTTTTCATATAGGATTTACTGGATTGTGCTAGAGATGGAAGTGGGATAGGTGCCCACTAATTTTGAATGCCCATATGCAAACCGGTTTAAATTTTTATTACTCATACCCGTTCCAAAACTCATTTAAAATCCCTTTTGAAATACCCATACCTAAACCTATTTAAAATTTTAATATCATGCATTGGTCTCAAGCCCATTTAATATACCCCTTTCACTATCCTTACCTGTTCTAAACCTATTAGTACTAGTTCTCTATCTAACATAAATCCATTTAATATAAAATAAAACTTGCGCAAATATTAGAAATAGTAAAGTACATTTCAAATGTATAATAATAAAATCCATAGATAAACAAAGAAAATATGGAAAAAAAAAACATTTAAGTTTATCTTAACAACATCGGCCAAATACATCATTTAACCCTTGAACTTTGACAAAAAAAACTTTATGGCACCTTGAACTATAAAATCGACCTTGTGACATCCTGAACTTATTTTTTGTGATAAATTTCACACCTCCTTGTATTAAAAATGGTAAATTTTTAGGGTTTTTGATTTTTATATGCAAAATATTGATTTGATATGTGGTTAATACAACTTTTGGAACAATAATTTTATATTTTCTAAAATTTTAATAAGTGATAATCGATCTAATTTTATAAGTTGAGGTGTTCAATTGATCAAATAAAGTGTTTAATAAGTACAAGTTTATAAGTTGAAGTGTTCAATTGGTCAAAACAAAAGGTGAAAATGCCATAAGGTTTTTTGTGAAAAGTACAGGGTTGAATTTATGTATTCAACCTAACAACAACAATTGAGATAAAAATTCATTGTATACCATCCACATATGAATTAAAAATTCATTTATATAACATTTGTAGATGAATTAAAAATTCATTATTATATTAACATATAAATTAAAAATGCGTCACTACAACCATTAACAAATAACAACATAATCTTCCACATACAACCAAAGTCTAAATAGGTTTTCGGAAGCGGAAACCCAAGGCCTTAAACCCAAACCCGACCCAAATATGTGATTAGTAATCAATTTAATATCCATATCCGTTCCAAAAATACCCAAACCTGCTTTAATTTAATATCCCTATTTTGTGGCCCTTGTTTGTACCTTTGAAATTTTTAGATAGATCTGGACTTTGTCTTCTCATAGTATTGCCTTAACTTATAGGCAAACAAAATTATGCTTGCAGCGCCCTGTTTAATCATAAACAGCGGTTCTTTGTTAATAACCATCAGAATTTCTTATTAATATCCTTATCTCAGCTATCATCTGGGACGGTACTACTCATTGAATTCACACTTCATCTGTGGGGTTATACATTGATAGTGCCGGTTGGTAATTTCATAAGTGGATAATGATTTTTATAAGCATCTTCAGAACTAGCAACTCCTTTTTTAAATCAGCATCTCTCTGGATCTCAAGTTGGTGGCAGCCTTCTTCTGATTAGCAAAAAAGCAAATACCCATAAATAGCTGCTAAGATAAAAGAAACATAACTTGTCTAGTGAAGGCAACATGAGAACCTATATATTCCTCTAAAAAACTTGATTTTGTGTTATATTTATGCTTTAATGACATATTCTCCCCTTCAGACATCAGCAGTCATCACCAGTACTAAAGCCCCACCTTGTTAAAAGAGTGTCCCGTCTAACCACACAACTTGATCTGTACAGAGCCATGGATTTTTGGTCCAGCATTTCCAGTATGATTAAATATATTTTTTTTGAGCATGTGTACTTGTAGGATGCACTAATGCACGTACACTGCTCTTATAGGTCTTCAAACGCAAAAGCAAATAGTTGTGTGAATTTTCTCAAAATTTCTATACCCCTCAAGTAATACTGTAAAAATTTTTTGTCCTTGTTCTGCTAGTATATAACACTTTGATAACACTATTTGATGCTTGATTTGTCAATCAGCAAGAGCATCCATCTACTGTTGAGACTGCTAGTGCACTTTTTCAATGCATTTCTGCTTACAAAGAGGTATGCCTATAGCTATGGCAAGTTGAACTTTTTGGTTAATTGTATGGTGAAATTTGATTTATGCTTTGAAACTGTTTGTCCTGCTTGGTTGTTGCCAATGTGTTCTACTAGTTTCATTTGATCCTTGTTTTTTTTTCTATCTTTTGGACTTGCTCTTACCCAGTGGTTAGCCTTTTACTTTGGTTACATTGGCAAATGAAAGGAAAATATTGGATTTTCACTTAGTTTTCGATTTTAGTTTTTTGAACAGTTGAAAATAAATTAACTCAATGTTGCAAGAGTGAAGCTATGTAGGGGCAAAGGGATAAGCCGACTAGTCCCTAGTCGCTGCTCCCCATGTGCTAATAAACCCCCAATCCCCATTCCCTTAATACATTTTTTATTTGAGTTTTTGTGAATCATATTTTATGCACAACATTCTTATGAAATATGTTTTCATGTAGTCAGAAAAACTTGGGCTATTTTGTTTGAAATAAAATTTTAAGAGGTAGAATAGTCTGTGATCTTTTCTTCTACACTTAACTTTGAGAAAAGAAAAGTTGTAATCTAGGAATTGGAGTTAGTAGCTTATCTATAAAATGAAATAACATACACCAATAAATGTTTCACTAACAATAAAATATGGTTGAATAGAAACTTTTGTAATATCTAACTAGTTTGGAGTAGACTTCATGATGCAGAAGCATACAAGACTAATTAAGAAGTTTTCTTTTAGTTTCCCTCTTTATTTAGGATTAGCTAAATGGGAATACTTTTCAGTCTAGGAGTATTAGCTCATCAGGAATACTTTTCAATATAGAATTAGGATTTATCCTGTCTAATATAAATACGACAGCAACAATTAGTAATCTTTATTGTATTGTTTTTTTCTCTATGAATTCAGAATTTTAATTCGAAGGGTTTCTTTAAAAGCAATTATTGTTCCAACCAAAATCACCTTACTCTAGCCTAATTGTTGAGAATTAATTGCTCTAAATTCTTCCCATGTCACTTCATTTTATGAAACAGTTTCACAATAAGAAAACATGAATGTTTCTGATTGATTTTGTTTAAAAGAGTTGTTGTGCAGAAGCAAAAGCTTAAAACTTGATTTTTGAAAGTTACTATTCATGTTGCTGTAGCAATTGCTAGTCCTATTACTTTTAAGCAGATTGGTTTCGAGATGGTATGGGTATTATTTTCTTTAGGCAGATTGATTTTGTGTTTTACAAAAGTTGCCCCATACCCAACTCAATCCTATTCACATTTAAACTGAAGAATCTGATACACTCACACAAGTAGTTGTTATTACAAGGGAATTTAAGTAATGCCTGGTTCAGTATATTGTCTTACAACTCTAGTTCCCATCCCGACCCAAACCCCTAAATACATACACATAGTGTCTAGCTTTGCCCCAGGAAAAAGAATTTCATAACACCATTAGTTAAACCAAATGTGATGATTCATAACATATCTTCTCAAGTTTGTGTGTTTAGATAAAATTATAACTACAGAACAATATATAATGTCGTCATATCAGACATCTTGAGATTTTTCTTTTTTCCAGTTAAATTCCCAATTTGATTTGAACATCTGAAAAATTAGAAAAATGCAATCTGACCATATCAGTTTAGGGAAAAACTTATCTGGACCAGGTCCATGGCCCCACATATGGACCAAACCAATAAAAAAGTTGATTCTTATTGAAAGGAGAGTATTTCTGAACATATACTAGGAAAAAAAAAAGGATAACCTCGAAATACTTTTTAAAAAATCTTTAGCTTCATTTGTTTGGTCTACATGTGGGGCGGTGTAGACAAGTTTTTTCCATTTGTTTAACCTTAGATAGATAGATATCATCTTCCTCTGTGACGTCAGATTTTATGTTTTCAAATTTGCTTGTCTGCATCTCATTGTACTTGCCTGCATATAGTGTGTTTCTTTTGTAGCAGTGCTTATATTACAATGGACAAAATGAATAATTTGCAAGTATTATTTGATTTGACCATTATTTGGTAGAAAATAACATTTGTCGTCTCATTATAAGTTTGATCTTTGTTTATGGACGTTGAAACATGAAAAATAATAAAGGTCATTTACTTTGCTGCAGTTTGAATCTGAGAGGTCAATTTCTGATTCACCTGAAGTAAAGGTGGAGTATCTTTCATGTTTGAAGCATCTCTTGAGCTTGATTAGTGATAAAGCTATCAGAGAGACGCAACTCTCTGGAAAAGTTACCTCGCAAGAGCTCAATGATGAAATAAAGCGCATTGAAGGTGAAATATCAAATTATAGAAAACGTAAAACTCTAAGGTAGCAATCCTTGATTGCGCTGTACACTATCAAGAAAATATTCATCTACTTTTAGTAGAAGGGAAATAAGTATACAGGCTCCGTTTGGGATTGAGTTTGAACCTTGTCAAATTACATTTTGCTTTTCTGTTACTCATTATATATTTTTTGTTTTTTTTGTATTTTCCTGAACTGAATTAGGAAAACTTTGACTTAAATCTAGCTTTTACCAAACCGTAGTTCATAAAGTTTTAAATATTACGAATGCAGCTTACCAAACGTAATTTAAACTTGGGGTTTACTTTCTCTGTCCTATACCCAAGTATTCATGTTAGGTATCTTAAATTAATTGTCCACTTTATTATTTTAGTTAAAAGTTAACAGGTAAAAAATTTTATTGTTTTAATTTTTTTTTTTTTTTTTAGTATTGAGGAAGGGGATTCGAACCTGGATTTATAGTTAGATTATATTTGTATTTACTGCTAGACTGTGCCTTGGTATGCTTTAATTAATGTTATTTGACTTGTCAATGTATGTGAATAAAAAGAAACTTTGCTGTATATAGATGCTCTTTTTTTTTTTTTTTTTGAAAAAAGGAAAATACTATAGCATTGAACATTTGGATAGAATCCATACAAACAATCAGGGATAACTTTTCAAATCTTAAAATAAGCATATCGATTAGAGACTCTAGCAAGAGAGTGAGTCTCCAAATTAGCTTGTTTACGAATCCAAGCAATAAGAATATGTGCGACGGTCCAAGGTAGTCTTGCAATCTTGAAACGAAACTCAGAGTAAACATCCAAGGAGGAACAGAGTGCATGAACCAGAAGCTGCCAATCTGTGAAGAAACAGCAGAATTAGCTTGCCGCCAATCCAAAAATACAGTCCAATGCATCAAAACATACAGAGTTAGAAGACGAAATCACATTTTCCCATATAGATTTGTTTGGTGCACTCCACATTTTCCACGCTAACACAGACAGTTCCTCTTAACTTTTCTTGATTATGAGAATGTGCAACCTGCAAGAACAACGAGTACATACACTTGCTTTGCAGCGAGTATTTTTTGTTTTTCTTTTTGTTTCCTATTCGAGTACATACATGGGTTTGACAGCGAATCCTGGTAAATCGAGGGGAGGTTGTAGTTGCACAACCACTATGAGCTTAAAAAAAGGTCCCTGCAAAGAAATCGGTGAATCTAAAATCCAATGCAAATTGAGAATTATGGTTTTTTCACTATGAATAGACGTTCATTTAGGCTCCATTAAAATATTTTCCACAATTTTATATTATCTGGGGCATTTAGAAAAATAAGTAAACGGAAAATATTTTCCTAATGAAAGGAAAATTAAGTCATTTTTAAGAAAAATGACTTCTTATTTTTACAATCGTAAAATATTTTCCAGACTTTAACAAACTTATTTTGACTTTATAAATTCATATTTTTTTTAATCATCGGTATCTACTACCACTAGTCACTATTCACCACCACCACCGGCCATCACTACCACTAATCATTGTTTATCACTAGTCACCACCACCACCGGCTATCACCGCCATCGGTCATCGACGACTTTCATAATTCACCATTTTTTTTATATTATTCTCATCTTTAACAATAAAATTTTGGAAAAATAAAATTTATATTATTATTATTATTATTTTATTTTTATGGTCTTATGAGTTGAAAATTTAATATTTTACTAATTTTCAATATTACGACCAAATAACGGAAAAACATTTTCCAAATATAAGTTATTTTACCTTTTCCAAAAACAAATGGAGTCTCGTTTGACATTTAACTTCAGAGAAGACTTACTTACACCTAGGAGTGGAAGCTGGACGAGTTTTCATGGGTGTCCAACCGTAAAAATCCATTTAAAACACTGTAGATTTGAGTACTAACTCTATGAGTTTGGGATGAGTCATGAGGATGAGTATCAAATTTAATTATTCACGTGGATTTAGATTGAGTGTGAGTTTAAAGTTAAGGATACCCACTGTCCAGCAATACCCATTATATAATTAAAAAATATTGATATAATGAAATATTGAGTATAGGGATGAAAGCCGGTTGTGTCTTCCCGGTACTCTAGTACCCCGATCCATTTGTCTATGAATTATGATATTTTATGAATTTAAAATTTATTTCCTTTTTTTTTTTTTATAATTTTCACTAGTTTTGTTTTATACACAGTGGAGTTGATAAGTTACTATACATATGGTTTTTGTGGATGCCCTACTCGCCCCAATCCATTTAAAGCAAGGTTTAGATATTAGTTAAATATGTATGAAATGGGTGTGGGTATTAAAATTTTAAATGGATTTGGATAATAGATAAAAAGAATTTTACACAGATGTGAAATGAATATGGATATCAAAATTTTAAGCAGGTTAAGGTGTATATAATGTAAAATTCACGGTACATGTTCCACTTTTAGTTCCTACTTATACCTAATACATCGGGTGGTTCTATCCACCAAATTGATCCATGATGGATTTTTCAAAAAATATTACTCACTTCGCCCTATTTTGTTTGCTTGTTATTTCTTTTTTTTTTTATGTTCCGAAATGTTTGGAAAGTTTCTAAATTTCTATATTTAAACAATTACTTGTCCTATAATAACATTTATGATTGTTCATTAAATGAATGACTTTAATTAATGTTTTAATGACTTAAGGGTAAAATAGGCAAAATAATTTTTATTAACTAAATTCTTAATATGCATATTTTATCAAATCATGCAAACAAAATGAGACGGAGAGAGTATTACTATTTTATTCTCTTTTTTTTTTCTCACCGAATGATTAGAAGTATCATCGGCCAAAATTTTATTTGTAATTGATTTGGTGTATAAATAATTCATACACTTAGAGAGAGTAAGGTAGTCCTGCCCTTTCCCTTTCCCTTTAATTCCACCAATACACTGTTCACTTAGACAGTCGTGTGCACATATAAAGCATGGAAATCTTTTTTGCATATATCACCCCACTCTGTCTCATATATGTGGTGGTTTGTATGTCACAAATCAAGAAAACAAGATGCGACTATCCAATCCAGTCCATTCCTTCTAATTAATCCTAAGAAACCAGAATGACAATGACAAATTACAAATTACAAATTGAGGAAACACTTGATCTTGATCCCTAAACAATTCAACAATATAACACCTTCACAGCCATGGGATTGGGACCCAACTCCCACCTAACAAAAGTTTCTACTAGCCCCATTTTCCATTTTCCAATTAAATGATGCTATTCAATTCTAACAACACAACCCACCAAATCATAGCCAAATATACAGAAACCTCTTCAATCCCTTCATGGGATCATATACCTTTTTTTAACAAAAAGAACATCGACACATAAAACACTATATAACGTAACCTACCTTTTATCCATAGCGTGGACCTCCAGATTTCCACATATTTCAACTTCCCTCCCTCTCAAATTCCCTATGCTTTCCTCTACTCCCTTCAAAATTTTCATGGACAAAAAAAATAAAAACCCTAAAAGAAATAGCAGCATTCATGATGATAATGATATCTCCATCGTTAAAGCAGCAGCATGGGCTTGGTATCAACATGGTTCGGGTTCCGATGAAGAGAAGCTGATGCGCGAATTCGATGTCTATAGAACTCCTCAAGCTCCTAAGCCATCCAGATACAAGCTAGAAGCTATGGATAAAAAGATCAAAGAAAGTACAACCCATACTAATAATTCTCTTCTTGATGCGTATGAGATTGCGAGTATATCCAAGCGACTTGACGATCTTATTATAGAATCTAGAAATAGTAGTATACGATTTTATGATAGAACCTTTAATGGAGACCAAGAAAGTATTGTATCGATGTCATCACCATCACCAGACGGTTCCTATAGTAGTAATAGTGCAATGAAGAGTAAAAAGAAGAAGAAGAGGTTCTTGAAAGGATTATGGCTTAGACATCCAGTTGTTTGTGGTACAACAAAAGATGTGGATACAAAAGCTTTTGTTAGGAGGACGTCACTGGCCGCCGGAAATTTACCAGGCTCCGGTAATGTATAATGGTTGTTTGTAGGCTAGAGATTGCCCATGCCTAGTGAATTTGCCAGCTATGTACATCAATTTAATGTAACTTTTTAGAAAAAGAAAAGAAAATTTTCGTTAATTTTTTTTTATTTTACACTGGTTATTGTTATTGATTATTAAGTTTATTAGACTCGGTGTAGGTCTATCTTTGATCTTAATCACTAGAATTAAACACATGAGTGAGTATATGCAAAACAGTATACTTATTGCTGATATATGTTTTGTTGATGTAGATGTGTAAGAGAAATTCTCTTAAATTTGAATATTTTACATCATATTATAAAATAAATGGAAAAATCATATATATATATATATATATATATTTTGAGCACTGGTATGTGGTTATCTGATTTGATGTAAGTTTAATTAAGAGCTCGGGTGTAGAGTAGAGGTCTATTCTTTGGATCCTTAATTGCATAGAAATTAAACCACAATGAGTGGGAGGGTATAGTGCGCCGGAAAAACAGTATACTTAGATTGGGCCTGGGATTATATTGGTTTGTTGTTGGATGTTAGATTGTGTTAAGGCAGAAATTCTCTTAATATGAATATTTTTCGATCAATATTGATAAAATAAATGGGAAAAATCATATATATAGTATAGTAAGTACAATATATTATATTCTGTCTTCCTCAGGGATCAACAAGAGTAAATTCGCGCAAAGAACTAAAATACCAACAAGAAAGCAACTTGGAATATGTCGCATTGGGAGGCTAAAGACATAATGATTGTCCATCCACCTCATAGCAGGTCGCACCTAATCCAGTAAGAATAGGCCCATGATCTTTTCATGTCAACATTTTGGTGTGGTTACGGGTTATTATCAGAGTCTCTTCGGTTTCTGGACTTGGGTTGCCTAATCCTTTTATACTCGGTGATTTCCATCTCTTTAGATTGTATTGCAACATTATTTTCTAAAAGGTAGAATCAAAGAGAGACCGAAATGGAACGCGAAAGCAAATTGTAGACTAGTTCAGTGTTGGTTCCAAACTGTCTTTAGTGTGGTTCAATTTCAAGAAGGAGGCTATTTTGATTATTTGATTTTTGGCAGTTTGATTCAGTTTGGAAAACGCAAATGCCTATGCGCACCACTCCCTTAACTTGATAAAAGTCCAAACGTTGGCTCCGCAAATGGTTTAGAAGATATTATTTTATTTGCCATTTTGATTTATATATATATATATATATATATTCTTCTCAAGGCATCAACAAGTAAAATCCAAAAACTAAAATCCAACAGAAGCAACTTGGAATATGTCCATTGGAGGCCTAAAACATAATATTCCATCCACCTCATACATCCACTATCCATAAGATAGGCCCATATCTTTCATTCAACATTTTGGTTGGTTCGGTTATTCAGTCTTTTGTTTCTGACTTGGGTTGCTAATCTTTTATAACTTCGGTTTTCCATCTTTAGATTGGCTATTGCAAACAATTATTTTCTAAGTAAAATCAAACGAAATGGACCAAAGCAAATTGACTAGTTCAGTTTGGTTTCCAAACTTACTTTAGTGTGGTTCAATTTCAAGAAAGAGCTAACTTTGATTTTTGATTTTTGCAGTTTGATTCAGTTTGAAACCGCAATGCCTATTCGCACACTCTTAACTGATAAAAGTCCAAAACAGTTGCTAAATGATTTAAATATTATTTTATTTGCATTTGATTAACCTCAGAAAAATAACTACAAATAAAATTTTTAAATTGATATTCTTTATGGTGGTTTTATCAATAGTTATTTAAAATAACAAATTTCATTAAATATTATTAAAATTTTAATTAATATTTATTATATAACTCCTTAAAAAATTTAGAATATATATGTATATTATACATCAAAACATATAAAAATAATCATATTCTTAATAGTCGTTTTATATTTTAGCAGTAACTACTATAAAATATAATCAAATATCAATATTCATTAGTTAACCTATATCGGTCGCCAATCATCAACTACCAATAACCAATATCAGTTATCTGTTAGTATGAACAGTTAAACTAAACAGACTTTGTCTTCAATGTTTATTCATAAGGAGAAATTGTAAATTAGTTTTTCATTATTTTGTTTTAACAAGTTGAAGTATTGAAGAGTTATAATTTTATAAACGGAGGAATTTAATAGATTAATTTAAAAGTTAAAAAATGCTACTAGGTTATTTTTATAAAGAAATTTGGGACTCTTCACTTTCTACGGGCCAGAGCCCAGCCCAAGTCCAAATCTCACCGCAAAATTAATATTTTAGCTTATTGGCGGGAGAATGGGCATTTAATAGCGAGGTTCACCGCTTTGCTATCCGTTAATACAGTTTCACTCAAGTACAAGCCAAAATGGCAGCTGCAGCGAGTGATCAAGAAATTGATTCTCTTCTTTTAACTTTTGATCAGATCTACGAGGTAATCTTCTTATACAACTTTCTAGTTTTCATGTTTGGTTGCCAAAAAAATTATAGAAGCTAAAAGAAACTTGAGAATTATTTATTGATTTGCATGTAGATCTCTAAAACAGATAGTAAAGCAAAAAATTGTGTTTGGATAATTTATATTTGCGTCGATTTTGATCAGTTCTGCTCAAAAACTGAGTGTGAAAATCGATTCGCATGAAACAAACAATTAAAAGTAGAATTATCTTTTTAGTTTATTTTTCTTCATTATTTTCTCGTAGACCAAACAGAGGATAGACAATTACTTCCCAAAAAATAAAAAATAAAAAACTAAAATTAGGTATTTTAGGATTTCAAGAGTGGAATAAAGGAAATCCAATTGCTGAAATCAAATTGGAGTGCAGAAATTAAAAATAGAGAGGCTCTTGAACTCACCTGCCGAAGTTTGAAACAAGGTATTTATTTTTATATATATCCATTACTAAATCTCTTAGGATTTTTTTCATTGCCTTTTTCTTTTGATTGTTTCTATTTTTTTCTCTTTTTCCACTTTTCTTTTAATTTTCCAGAAAATGAGCGGTTGACGAAATTGTACACAGAAAATTTTCACAATATAGCTGAGCAGGTTTGCTGTTTCTGAAAGAATCTAAACTTGGGTGTTCTTTTTAATTTACTTACCTATTCTTTTTTTTACCCCTCTTTTATTTTGCTTATTTTTATTGGTTTGTTTATGACATACAGCTTGAATTCCGTGTCAAGTTTCAAAGCCAAAAGGAGGAAATGAAAAGACTGAGTGAACAGAATCTCAGTAAAGAAGAAGTAAGTTTATTATATGTTGAAAAATATGGCAATAGAGTTGGTTAATATTTTCAATTAGAGATATTTTCCTATCGAGATTAGAGTAATTTCGAAAATAAAGTTTAGAGTGATTTTCTTATTGATTCTGATGACTCATGGTCGGAATGTTTTTTGTACTTTGACCCCTTATTTGGTATAAATAAATTTGAAGTATTTAAAATTTATTTATGGATGATAGGATCTGGTTTAGTTATGTTGAATTCTATAAAAATTAGTTTCTAATAATGAAATCAATATTTTCATTTCTACTAAATAGGGCCTTAGACTTTAACAAGTGGATAAACAGGAACACAGAAAGGCCATGGAATTGCTTAAGCAAGAGTATGCAACTAAGATTGGAGACTTGGAAGTTCAAGTCAGGTGATTTACCATTAGTACGAGTACATGTTTTCCATATATGTTTAATTTAGTTCTCCTTTGACCATTGATTTTCTCACATTATATTAGAGGCTTACAACTTGAGAAAGCAACAAGTGAAGCAACAGTAAATCATCTTCGCCAAGATTTAGCAGCGCATAAAGCCCATATGCAAACTCTAGCAAACAGATTGGAAAGAATCCATTTTGATGTGGAATCAAAATGTGATGTTTTTAGTTTGAAATTAAAGAATTCTTAAATTTTTATAACCAGATCTACTCTATTAGAACATGGATAAGCTTATTAGTAACCTTTATGTGACAGATAATCTCGAGACTCAAGATTTGAAGGATTGTCTCATGGTCGAACAGGAAGAGAAAAATGAATTGAATAGAAAGCTACAGGATTTGGAAAAGCAGAGTGAGTTTGTAGCCTCTTAATGCTTAATGTATTTAACCGGTTCTGCCCATCTTTTTGCTTTGATGGAAATGAAATTGGTTTGAAACAATGTTACTAGAAGTTTATGCAGACAATGAAGCAATTTTTATTTATTTATTTATTTTTAGAATCATCAATGGTTGTAGTGGAGCTTTTACTCTCTTTACTTTTGGTTCTCTGGTGCATTGCAGTGGTAGTTATCAGAACAAAGCTGGTTGAACAGCAACAAGATATGGCTTCACATCGACTCGTCGAAACACTTAAATCGAAGATTATGAAACTGCGGAAGGAGAATGAAATTTTGAAAAGGAAGCTTTCTCATTCAGAAGAGGCTTAGAAGGTAGAATCTGAAGCTGTTGACTATGGTGACTAGATGCTTTGTTGTTGTGGGTTTAACTCCATATATGTATGACTATTGATTTAAGAAGATCAATGCATAAATTGACAGTGAACTTCATAGGAAAAACTAATTGTGCTCAACTTTTAGGTTAATCCAATAAACTTGTCGACTGTAAAATTACACCTATAAGATAATTCAAATTCTAAAATCACACTTATCGAATATAATTCAATTACTGAATAAATATTTAATAAGTGCAATAATTTATGCATCTTTTGATATAAATTGTTGAACAATGATTTCCATAATGTAATCATCAAATAAGTATTCAATAACTATAGTTTTATAAATTAAATATTCAGTGAATGCAATTTAATAAGTTAAAGTATTTAATAAATAAATTTTACAATTAAACTATTTAATAGGTCAATATAAAAATTGAGGGTTCCATTAAGATTTTCTTCCAAAGGTGTGTCAATTTATGTACTTGATTAGAATTTGACTCAAAATCACATGTATTTAAAAAGATTTGTTATATTTGTATTTGAGAAATAATCGCATGAGCTATTCTTTATTTGGTACAATATTATTTTGTAGGAACTCCTCATTTAGAGTCATTCTTGATATTGATTATAAACTCTAATTGAGGTAAAATTGGAGAAATCAATCTCTCTCTCATAGTTAGCTTTAGCCTATGGTGTAGTTAATGTTAAAGTAGCAAATAGTTCAATTATGTTTAGAAGAGAATGAGAGAGACAAATTATTCTATTCACAATTAGTAGTATGTATTATATTTGTTTCATAGGTTCATATGAATTTTGATCATTATGATGTAATTCTGTTTATAAGTATTATAGTAGATGACGAGGGTAAACTATATAAATATTGTCATTGTTATTGTTAGTTGTAACATCAATTAGAAGTTTTTCATGTTAAAATTACACAGGAAAAATAATTGGCAACAATTGATTATCTAAATTCTAAAGAGCAGTTTGCTTAGTTTTACCTAAATATACAGCCTGACAACAGTTCTTAGCTTTTTAAATATCATTACATTAATGCATCTCTGTTTTTATTTGGCTCCTGAAAACAAGAAGTTGAGTTAGAAATGATAATTAGTTCAATAAATTAAGTTATATTCTTAATTTCTTCAAAACATTATTATGTCTTAACAAGAAGTAAAGTCAAAGACATTGTAACCAAATTGGTTTATGTTTTCTCCCTCTTTTGTGTCTAATGATGCACTTATACATATAAAGAGGGAGAAACATAAAAGAGAGAGCCCTTCTTCAAGGGGAAAAAAAAAAGAGAAATTACAGGAATTGTGTGAAAACGAACAAGAATTTATAATTTTGTCCATTAAAAACTCCCCCAATAAAAAATTAATTCATCCATGGAAAAGTATAAGTTTCATATAAAGAACAATTATGAAGACAAGAGTTGTTGGTCTACTGTGATTCAAGTGCTTCTATATCCTATCTTACTTATTTCTTTAATATGTATCTTTTATTCTATAGCTTTAGTTTTTATTCTAGCACCTGTTTAAGGATAGTGTCCTTGAAAGCTTCAAACATTAGCAACATCAGTGTTATTGTATCAGCAGAAATTACAGCTGGGTTTAAATTTCAGAATCCAAACGACGACTGTCGTGTTCATGTCCATTTTATAGAGCGTGATCTTATGTTCAAATCTGAAAATATGACAGTTCCAATGCAACCTTTTGTGCTAAAAGAAAAGGAAATAGCGGAGACTTTTGTGAAATACCAGATGAAGCTCCAAGGAGAAATAGATGATGAGAAGCAATAACCAGGTCAAGAATCTCTTCTTAAACGCAAAGCCATGAGATTATTTATTGGATTTAAAGTAAAGGGTTTTTTCATTTCTAAACTTGGATGGAAAATTCATTTTAAAATGCTTGGTGGATGTGGTGGTTTGAATGTCAGAATTCTTGGGAAGAATGGCGTAATGGAAAAAGAAACTACATGCAGATTACTTCATACTAAATTAACTCCCTTTAGTTCTTAATAATATTTTGTCCGTAAATTACTTTCATAATTTTTTTCCCTTTCTGTTTGTTTCGTGGAAAATAGAAGAAGCCTTTCCTTCAACATTGTTTCTTTCGCAATTTCGTTGTTGAAGTTATAGATGTATATTTTCAATGATAGATTTTCAAACATTTTTAGCCATTTATAGGACTTTATAGATGAATTAGTTTAAACAGTGACGGACTATTAAATATTTACAAAATTTATTTTACTTTTAGCGACGAGACATTTACTATTTTGCAAAATAAATTAGAAAATAGAAAATATATATAATCGAATATTTCATACACACATAGTGCCCTTCAATAAATTATTTTTTTCCAAATTTTGAGAAGAGTAAGTGATACGGATCCACCATCAATCATCCAAGGAGTTCAAGAGCACAACATGGGGAATCCATTAGTACTTCCTAGTGGACCAATTACAAGGAGTTGTGCAAAGAAATATGGAGCAATCATGTCTTTATATATCCAGGAACATGTTACACAAGAGCTCCATGACCTTGCTTTCAACAAGTGCTATGAAGAACTTAAAGGCACACCTAAGTTTCTCACATTGATGGAAGCACATGCTGAGATGGAATCTGAAATTTAAACAGTGGTGACGGGAACCTATTCGAATATTTACAAAAATTTATTTTACTTATTAGCGGACGAGACATTTACTATTTTTTGCAAAATAAATTAGAAATTAGAAAATATATATAATCGAATATTCATACACACATTAGTGCCTTCAATAAATTTATTTTTTTCGCTAAATTTTTGAAGGAAGAGTAAGTTGGTACGGATCCACATCAATCATCCAAGGAGGTTTCAAGAAGCAACAGACAGATGGGGAAATCATAGTTACTCTCTAGTGGACCCATTACAAGGAGTTGTGGCAAAGAATAGGAGAATCAAGCTTTATAATATCAGGACGATGTTTACCCAGAGCTCCATGACCTTCGGCTTTGCAACAAGTTGCTATGAAGAACTTAAAGGACACCTAAGTTTTTCACATTGGATGGAAGTCCATGCTGAGATGGAATCTGAATTCAGCAAATGTCACACCCAGGGTTCGCGTGCTTGAGATTGCATGCGTTTGGCAACGGTAGCACGCCAGGCCGTGCTAGAGTTGGACCTTGCAGAGGAAGATCATGTAAAACATGAAACATGCCCTGTGCCAATAGCAGAGCCCCCAGGGCCGTGCCAGAGTCTGACTTGCGCGAAGGCAAAACCAACCACCATGAAGCACGTCCGTAGCGAATTGGCACGCCAAGCTGTGCTAGGTCTGCCTACTAGCGAGATTTAGTTAGTCTAATTACCTGGCTTATTTTGAGTTTGGTATTCAAATAAATAGGTTGGGGGGCCTCCTATACGACTCGGGCCCCGCCCTTGGGGATTTTATCGCTTGATTTGTTTTAGATTTAAGTTTAGGGTTTTTATGATTTGGGATTAGTTAATCCAAGATCTTAGAGTTTGTTAGAGAAATTTTGGTTAGGTGCGATGTATCGCTTTAATTGGGTTGTAGATTACGCGTAAATCCTTATCCGGTTAGCTGATTTAGGATTAATTATGTTTAGAGAATCCTTAAAGGGATCAGGGACGCTGTCTGTGGATAAATCCTTTAAGGATCAGGACCTCTTGGATTTAGTATAAATAGCTTGTTATATTGTACAACAAAACACAATTCATTGAAATAAGAAATCTACAGATTTTGTTTATGCTTAGACGTGTTCCATTGATTAGAGTGATTGTGAGATTTCCTCTAATTGCATCAAGAATCAAGGTAAATTTATCAATTTATCTGTAGCGTTTATCTTATTTTTTTACTCTATTATTGGTGTTCTTGCTTCTTTAAGCTTTGGGTTCCATAGAGGGGAGTTTAGTTTGATATTTGATCTATTCCAAATCTTGTCATAGAGTTCTTGGAATTAATTTTCATAGGGTTCTGCGTCAGTTTGGTATCAGAGCTAAAGATTGAGGTAAATTCTTATTTATCTTAGTTCTAGGGTTTGTGATTTTTCTTGTTTTCTTAAATTCCTGTGTTTTTCTTATTGTTTTGTTTAGTTTTAATTCTGAGTTTGCGTCATTGTGCTTTCTTAATCTTGTTCTTGTTTCGTTAAAAAAAAAAAAATCTGGAAGTTGTGATCTTAGATCTTGCTAATTAGATCTGTTTAAAAAAAAAAAGGAAGAAAAAAAATTCGTCCACCATTAAAGCTTGATTGTTTTGAGTGGATTTTGTTCCTAATTCATAAAAAAAAATTGTCCCACCGCATTAAGCTTGATTTGTTTTGAGTGGATTTTTGTTCCGCTAATTCATAAGGGATTTTTGTTTTCCTAGTTCATAAGGAATTTGATCCCTAATTCATAGGGATTTTGACATTAATTTTGTGGAGATTCAGTTTATCCATTATGAAATCTTTGAATAAAATCTAATTTAACTAAACTGTTGTTGGATAAAGTAAACAAGAATTATTTGTCCATATCTTCCTTTGGAGATTTAGGTTTTTTTGAGATTTAGTTTATCCACTATAATCCTTGTCAAAATCTAATCCTAACTAAATTGGGTTATATTGAAAGGATAAGGGAGGATACAAGTCAGCACGCACATGCTTCACAACAAGCACACCCGTGCTAGGCTCTGACTCTCAATTGTCAGACCAAGCTATACACGCACGCCCATGCTCGGTTTTGACCTTATAAAAAAAAAATTTTTTTGAATTTTTGGATTTTCTTTGATTGCTTACTTTGTTTGGGGTAGAATTAACTAGGTCCATATTTGGTTTGCTTTGTAGTAAACTAAATTCATACATTATATCCAGAAATTGTCTTTTAAACTCTAGTTTCTTTATTCTTGTTTTGAGCTTTTCTTTTGCTTCTATACATTGTTAGGGTGTGTTTGCTTGTTTACTACACTTGCTTGTTACTACACTCTTAATTGATAATTAAGTAGTAGCATTGTATTGATTCTTTATGCCCTGCCTATTCCATTACGTTGTTTGCCGTCTTCTTTCTAGAATTTTGTGCCTGTATTTTATTGTTAAGTTTTATTCCTTGTTTTCCTAAACGGGGATTGGCTTTTGAAGTTGATTTGGGTTTGGTTTTGAGTTGATTGGTTGACCTGAGATTCTAAAGTACAATTGGAGGAATTGCAATGAGTGATTAAAGAGTGTAAAC